TTTTTACGAGTAAAACGACTTATCGTTCGAAAGTTTTAACGAGTAAAATGACTTTATTGTTTGAAAGTTTTTACGAGTAAAACAATTTTATCGTTTGAAAGTTTTTACGAGAAAAACGATAGCATCAATAATAGCTTAAAAAAACAAAAAAAACAAAAACAAAATATTTTTTTTTTTTTTTTTGCTACGCGTGGTTGTGTTGTTCTTGTGTGCAGGTATATTGAACAGAAGAATCAATGAACCCGAGCAATATGTTCCCCTCCTCGCAAAACCTTTATTGGAATAATGGGCCGAGCTACGGTTCGTGGGAGTATGGCCAAGCATGTGCCTATTCTTACGAGCAATCGTGGTATCTATTACCGTTCGAGCAATCATATGAGTTCCCCGTAGACTCCTCTGATGATGACGCTAAGCTCGATAGGATTCTCGATTTTATGGCCTCCCAAGCAGCCCGGACCAAAATTCTTGAGGCCGAAGTCGAGAACCTAGCGGAACGCATTCAAGTCTTGGAGAATCGAGCTTACAATTTTTTTCCCGATTCCCTCATGCAAAATGAACTTCGGGGGAACACTTTGACTGATGATGAAAAGTTCGATCTCATTCTTGCTTGTATGACGGCCCAAACATCTCGACTAGAGAAAATGGAGCTTGAATGCACTCGGTTGGTGGCGAAGCTTGACGACATAGAACGCGCTCAGTCCGTCAAGATTGAATGCAGAATCCACGTGGACGAGACTGAAGATGAGGAGGATGCACTCTCGAAGATTGAGGATGATATAGTGAAAGAGGAAACTCATGTTCCCGAATTCGAAAGTCCCTCACTCGAGTCATCTCTCCTCACAGTCGAGAAGGCCCCATTTAGCTCAACATGTTCCACGGACATTCTCGTGCTTCGGGAGGATGACTGTGGAATTTTGTCGAGAAGAGCGATGGGTCGTTTCGTTACCATCCGTGATGCGTACGCTCGGTTCCACAAGAACATTGCCACTCGAGCGTACGATATCCTTGGTCATGTCACCCTTCCCATGCTGCCGCTTCTCGAGAATACGAAAGCATGGCATGATCGACACTTCTTTTTAGACCCAGGTTGATTTGTACAGGTTTCGTCAAGCTAATGACGTTAAACAAGCGCTTCTTGGGAGGCAACCCAAGCAATTTACTGCTTTCGTGTGTGTTTCATTTATGTTTTTATTTCATTTTATTTTATTTTTGAATAATGGGAGTTTGTGGAGATTGGTTTTCTTGGCAGGATATATCGAGGATCGGTTGATCGGGGGCGGAAGGCTGGAACGTGAATGCTTATTTCCATCGAGGCTACTTCGGTTTGCACACTCTTTTCTTTTTCTTGTTTTAATTCCAAGTTTTTTTTTTTGTTTTTATTTTCATTTATGTGTTGATGCAATGAGGACATTGCATTATTTTAAGTGTTGGGGAGTCGGCAACTCCGCCGTGGATTTTGCATGTTTATGTGGTAGGTTGTCGTGTTTTCGAGCATTTGGTATCGATGAATTATATGATTTGTCGATAAATGTTTGATGAAATTGAGAAGTTGTGATGACGGACGTATTTATCATTGCCTCGATATTTACTTGATTGCTTTAATTGACATTTATTTACCTTGTGAGGTTTTGATCCTTACTTTTCTTTCTTGAGAGACATTGGTTGTATTCTCGAATGATTAGAACTTGCCTTGAGTCTATTTGAAAAGAATTGGTCTAAGTCTGAAATTACGAAAATGATTGAGACGTTTTGTTGTTAGCTCGTTTTGCCTTGTTCTTGATCCTAAAAATATATTTTCCGCTAGTAGCCCGTTTGAACTTGAAGCCTTTTCTTGTAAGCCATATATATATCTGATTGTTGACAGGTCTTGAGTTTCGATTGGTGAAGTGGCGATATTTTTGAACGAGGTAAAAATTGAGTTGCATTTTATTGCTTGACCAATATAAAAAAAATAATAAAAAAATATATAAAAATAAAAAAATAAAATACATGAGAGCTCGCAAGACGAATCGATTGGATTCTACTCCGCTTACATGTTATTCATTTTAACGAGTAATGAGTATTGGGAAACTACCTTAGGACACTTGGATGACCTCTAATGTTTAAACCTAAGGAATATTGTCCTTGCGATTCGAGCTTGTTCGGAAATAGTAACTCTCTAAATAATAAAAAAAATATATAATAAGTTGAGCAGTATTGCAATTCGATTGGAGCATTTATGTGTTGTTTGTGGAGACACTGGTGGACGGTATGTATGGTATCTTGTTGATTTTGGTCGAGTGGCGGACATGCGAGTATTCTATTACTCGAGAACTTTGATTGTTTATTTGAGCTTCTTGTCCATATATATATTCTTACCTTTACCTACACCCCACATTACAACCTGAGAAGTCCTCTTGATTCCAAAATTTTGAGCTTTGGCAGATTTCGAGTAATTTAGACGATTGGCAAGTATATGTTGAAAAGAGAATATCGACCAATTTTGAGCGAACTCATCACATATCCGAACAAGAAAATGAGTGAGGCATATATGATTATCTTTGAGAGTTGTCATTTTAAGGCCGAGTTGATATTTGAGGCATATGGTAGTACGGTCGTTGGAATTCGACTCGATAGAGTTAAACATTTTGAAGCATGACTTATTTGAAACCGATACCCATGTTCGTATTTTGCTTTCTTTTCTCTTTGTTCGGGACAAACAAAGGATAAAGTGTGGGGGAGTTGTTGTAACCATTTTTGTTGCGATTTTTGTTATTATTTTATCATTCTTTTCTTCCCGTTTTGGGTCTTTTAGTTGGTTTTTAGTTCGTTTTGTGTTTTATTTTGTGTTTTGTTCTATT